AATCCATGTTGAATTTTACTTATCACCTTATTTTCTTCTAGATGCTTACAAATTGTTTGACTGTTTGCTCCATTATCTTTCCAGTTGCTGAAGTTAAGATGATTCGTCTATAATTCCCTTGGTTGTCCTTATTCCCTGTTTTAAAGCTATGTACTATATTTGCCCTTTTCCAGTCCTCAGGTACCTCGTCCGTCCTCCTCAGTTCTCGTCGTCCAGTTTAGTGAGATCCCTTTGTAACTCTTCGCAGTCAGCTTTGGAATTAACGATCTTGAGTAATTTTGTATTGTCTGCAAAATTTGCTACCTCAATGTTTACTCCTTTTTCCAGATCATTTATGAATACATTGAACAGCACTGGTCCCAGTACAGAACCTTGGGGGATCCTTCCATTTACCTCTCTCCACTGTGAAAACTGACCATTTATTCCTACCCCTTTTTCCCTATCTTTTAACCAGTTTCTAAGCCGTGAGAGGACCTTCCCTCTGATCCCATGACTACCTACTTTCCTTAAGAGCCTTTGGTGAGGGACCTTGCCAAAGGCTTTCTGAAAGTCCAAGTATACTCTGTCTACGGGATTACTCATCCATGTTTATTGACATCCTCAAAAAATTTTAATAGACTCATGAAGCAAGATTTCCCTTAACAAAAGCCATATTGACTCTTCCCCAATATATTGTGCTCATCTATGTGTCTGATAATTCTGTTCTTTACTACAGTTTTAACCAGGTTGCCTGGTACTTAAGGCTTACTGGCCTGTAACTGCCAGGATTGCTTCTGGAGCCTATTTTAAAAATTGGCATTACGTTACCTATCCACCAGTCATCTGGTATAGAGGATGATTTAAGCAATAGGTTAAGTAACACAATTAGTAGTTCCCTCAGAACTCTTAGGTGAATACCATCTGGGCCTGGTGACTTATTACTGTTTAATTTATCAGTTTGTTCCAAAACCTCCTCTATTGACACATCCACCTAGGACAGTTCCTCAGATCTGTCACCTAAAAAGAATGACTCGAGTGTGGGAATCTCCCTCACATCTGCTGCAGTGAAGACTGATGTAAAGGATTCATTTAGCTTCTCTGCAAAGGCCTTGGCTTCCTTGAGTGCTCCTTTAGCACCTCGATTGTCTGGTGGCTCCACTGATATTTTGGCAGGCTTCCTGCTTCTGAGGTACTTAAAAAAAAATTTTGCTGTTAGTTTGTACATGTACATTGGCCAAACTGGACAGTCTCTATGTAAAAGAATAAATGGACACAAATCAGACGTCAAGAATTATAACATTCAAAAACCAGTCGGAGAACACTTCAATCTCTCTGGTCACTCGATTACAGACCGAAAAGTGGCAATTCTTCAACAATAAAACTTCAAAAACAGACTCCAATGAGAGACTGCTGAATTGGAATTAATTTGCAAACTGGATACAATTAACTTAGGCTTGAATAAAGACTGCGAGTGGATGGGTCATTACACAAAGTATAACTATTTCCCCATGTTTATTCCCTCCCTCCAACTGCTGGAAATGGCCCACCTTGATTCTCACTACAAATGGTCCGTCCCCCCCATTCCCGCCCCCCCGCTGGTAATAGCTCACCTTACCTGATCACTCTTGTTACAGTGTGTATGGCAATACCCATTGTTTCATGTTCTTTGTGTATTTTTCACTACATGCATCCGATGAAGTGAGCTGTAGCTCACAAAAGCTTATGCTCAAATAAATTTGTTAGTCTCTAAGGTGCCATAAGTCCTCCTTTTCTTTTTGCGGATACAGACTAACACGGCTGCTACTCTGAAACCTGTTAGTTTGTGTCTTTTCTAGTTGCTCTTCAAATTCTTTTTTGGACTGCCTAATTATACTTTTATACTTGACTGCCCAAGTTTATGTTCCTTTGTTTTCCGCAGAAGGATTTGACTTCCAGTTTTTAAAAGATGTCTTTTTGTCTCTAACCACCTCTTTTACTATTGTTTAGCCCCAGTGGCATTTTTGGTCCTCTTACTGTTTCTTTTTTATTTGGAGGTATACATGTACTTTGAGCCTCTATTATGGTGTCATTAAAAAGTTTTCATGCAGCACACAGGCATTTCACTCTTGTGACAGTTCCTTTTAACTTCCGTTTAACTAGCCTCCTCGTTTTTGTGTCGTTCCTCTTTTTGAAGTTAAATGCTACTGTGGTGGGTTTCTTTGGTATTTTCCTCCCTAAAAGGATGTTATATTTAATTACATTATGGTTGCTATTACCAAGCGATTCAGCTATATGCACCTCTTAGACTAGATTCTGTGCACCAATTAGGACTAAATCAAGAATTGTCTCCCCCCTTGTGGGTTCCAAGACTAGAGGCTCCAAGAAGCAGCCATGAATGGTGTCGAGCAGTTTTATTTTTGCATCCCATCCTGAGTGATATGTTCCCAGTCAACATGGGGATACTTGAAATCTCCCATTATTATTGGTTTTTCTATTTTTGTAGCCTCTCTATTCTCCCTGAGCATGTTACAGTCACCGTCGTCATCGAGTTAGGAGGTCAGTAGTATATTCTTCTCCTGTACTCCTACTAGTCAAGCATGGAATCTCTACTGTAGAGTTTCTATTATACTGTTTGATTCATTTAAATTTTTTACTATATTTGCCTTTATGCTTTCTTTTGCATATAATGCCACTCCCCCACCAGCATGACCTACCGTGTCATTCTTATATATTTTTGCACCCTGGTATTACCATGTCCCATTGATTATCATCGTTCCACCAAGTTTCTGTGATGCCTATTTTATCAATACCCATGTTGTAAGACTCACAGATGGGTGTACATTTAATTATGCACTATGGTACAATGTTCATGATGTTAAATGGTTTGAGTCATCTGGCAGCAGGATGGCATTTCTAGGCTCCATTCACTACACTGGCAATCTCTAAAGGAAGCACGTTTTCTTGGTCCCAAGGATACGCATCCAAGTGGAAGTTACTGCAGACAGCACAACTCCGTTTGGGTCTCAGGGGAGAAATGGGGTTTCAGAAGGCAGGAGGAGCCAGCCACTGGATTCAGAAAAGGTTCTTGTTCCTCAACCCTAAAGCACAATGAGGAAGAAATGCCAGCCAGATGCAGACTAGCTGGCTTTGCTAAGGTTACACGCAAGGGGTCCCTCATCCCAGAATGCAGTGAACAGAATGCAAATCAGCTTTTTAAACTGGCTGGATGTAACAGGGTTATGTTAGGTGCAGTGTGTCTCTTTTAAAGCGACTGGCTTTCTTCTCCAGTGTTACTTCAGGGGTCACAATAGACTTGGTTAACACAAAGGTCCAGTTAAGCAGAGTTATACTTTGTGCACACTCACATCTGTGCACACACGGGGTTTAACTGACTGACTTCAGAAGAGTTCTGCTAGGGATGAATTTGGCAGTGAGAGCCCCTGGGGACTTCCCTGTTGCTTCAGCAAATCAGCACAATCTGTATCTTAATGTAGCAACTTCTTACATTCACAGGCTCTCCCCACCAATATTCACACATTGTTTTCACAGTTAGGTTACTTTGGCTCTGCAAATAAATGGGGTTATTTTTCAATTTTTGAAATAAGTTATTACAAAAGAAGGAACATCAACCAGAAGATAGGAGAAACAGCACTTCTGACCAATGACCATAGACGTGGACTCCGTGGGTGCTCCAATGGTATTAACACCATTAATTTGGACTTGAATAGGGACTGGGAGTAGCTGGCTCACTACAAAAGCAACTTTCCCTCTCTTGGTCTTGACACCTCCTCATCAATTATTGGGAGTGGACCACATTCAACCTGATTGAATTGGCCCTGTCAACACTGGTTCTCCACTTGTCAGGTAACTCCCTTCTCTTCAATAACGCCTGCATCTGGAATTTTCACTCCATGCATCTGAAGAAGTGGGTTTTGTACCACGAAAGCTTATGCCCAGATAAATTTGTTAGTCTTTAAGGTGCCACCAGACTCCTTGTTGTTATTGTGTCAGATTATTCATCTCTTTGGAGCATCCTAATTCATCTGAGCACACCCTACTGAGGTGAATGGGCCATTCCACACATCAACAGTACTCCTGTACTGCAGAGCCTGTTCTGTTGCACTAGCTCCCTGAAGTAGATACAAAGTTTGGGGCTCCCTGCTATTCCTCTTGCTGCCTCCAGCTGGTGGATGTGCTTCTCAGCCCATCAGTTACCATCCCCCTTTCTTCCCATGGCCCTTTCAGCCCTACCGGGGGCATGGTGGGGCCAGGAGGAGGGCAGAGCTGGTAGCTAAACTGGTAGATCATTCCCCTCCCACAGGTGCCCTCCAATCATGCCCCCTCACTAACTCCTCTTCCTCAAGAAACAAGGGAAATTAACTGCCCCAGAACATGGTTAATGCAGGTCTTTGCCAGTACAGCTATGCCAGCTAGACTTACCCCTTCATAGTACCCTCTTCAATTCAAGGAGTGCATTTCAGATTCCTGCTGGCACTGCCAGTCTGACGTGCCTTCTCTGGCTTGTCAGATTGGGTTTATATCTGCTGCTGAATCACAGCGCCACTCAGACTACTTCCTGGGCTGGTGAACCACCTGTGGCTCATTAATTTTATACCAGTGTAAGTCCATGGATTTCACTGGGGTTGCTCCTGATTTACACTGTTGCAAGTGAGGAGAGAATCAGGCACAGACTCCAGGGTGCTCTGGGGCTCAAGCACCCCTGGAAAAAAATAGTTGGGGTGGTCAACACCCACCAGCCACAGCTGTTCAGCTGTTCTACAGGTGGCATGGAGCCTCGGGGGAGAGGGGACAGGAAGAGGCGGAGTGAGGGTGGGGCCTCGAGGGATGGGGTGGAGTGGGGCGGGGCCTTGGGGGCAGAGTTGGGGTGGAACACCCACCAGGAAAAATAAAAGTCGGCGCCTATGACCACCTGGCTAAGCAATGCCTGCTATGGATTTGTGTGCATACTCTTCTCTCCCCACAGAACACCCAAGTGAGCAATGTATCCTCTGAATTGTCCCCTGGGACAGGACCATACTTACTGGTTTCATAATCCAGGTGATGCCAGGATTCTTGCGAAATTCTTCCACAAACAAGTGGTACTCTGATGGCATCTCAAAGGTCTTGGGGAAAAAGTCACATTTTCTTGCCTCCAGCTTTCCTGCCTCTCTTTCTATCTGCTTCCGAAACCTCTTCAGGTTCTTCACTATGTAATTCTTACGAGTCAGCTGAGTGGAAAGAGAAATACAAGAGCAGACTCTGCAAATGTTAACACAAATTAATCATCACTCTTCTTTCACTTGAATTGCCCAGGAGATGAGATGTTTCTGGTGATATCTGGTAATAGATCTCAGCAGTGATGCCACAGGAGGTTAACTAACTGAGAAAACCAATGAGTAAAGTTAGGGATTCTTTCCTTCTTTGTGGAGGAGCCTGCATGGTTGGTGTGTGCATGGGCTTTGGTTTGGGTTTTTTGTTGTTGTTCTTTAGTTCTCAGGAGGAGCAAGGGGAAGCTGTAGCAATCCCCAGTGCATTATTTCTGGTCTAAAGCCTTTAGGTGTAGCTGCTATGCTGATTTCCAAGGTAAACACCAAGTTTTAGGGCCTGTCTATACTGAAAATACAACCATCTCAGATGACCTGGTTGCAATACAATTGTTCTCAGATATATTTAAAACACAGTTCCATTTTGTAGTGCACATTGGACTTTACGTGCGTTTCTGCTTCTGCTAAAGCCCTGAACATGCTACATTCTGGAACTATGCTAGAACTGTCCCAAGGAAGAACTGTGCTACAACACAGTTGTCCTTGTAGTGTAGAGTTGGTCCTGGATTCCTGAGATGGTCCAGCGCAGCCTTCATGAGATTTATCAGATGTGGAATACAATAAATCTAGTGTAATGTTCCTGGGCAGAGCCACTCTTCTGTTTCCTGGAGTGACAGAGGTTGATAAATTCTGAGGAGGAGTTAGCACAGCAGTCAGGAGGGTATTAGGTTTCATGGCAGGGAATATTCCAAGGTATTTTCCATCAACAAGCTTTTCCCATGGAAGTTTACGACTATTTCTCCAAAACTATTTCCCCAAAACCATCCTGACCCATATATTTCACTCATAGTGGTTTCTTACCTCGTAGTGGTTCCGAAAGTGGCAGATACGAACATGTTCATCCATGTAGGTATGGTCAAAATTCTCCCGAAGCCAGCTGACATCACACCAGTAAAAATCCCACTCACCCTCCCTATAGAAAGAGGCAGAGACACAGCCGGTAAGGCAAGCACTAAGTTCTAGGTCATCACCACACCCACCCTTCTTGACAGCCACCACCTGTCATCACCACCACAGCTTCCTTCTCTCCTTGCAGTTTTTCAGGCTAATAAAAAGCCTTGGTACACAGGATTAATCAATTTTTTTGTTTATTTTGTTCTTTAAAAGTTTAGGCTCTGAATTTTAATAGTTCCCATTATAACCAAGCCTGGTTTGGTCTGAACATACCAATGTATTAGGTATAAAAAAAACAGTTATCATATTGATTCTTGACTACCAGGAGTTCAACTGAAATCATCCAATTAGTTAGAAAAGCAGAAGCAGGACTTAGAATAGAGTCATCTACAACCAGGCAACTCCACTGAAGTCAGTTCCCACAAATTCAATGTGCGGCAGTCTTCCCCCTGAGTCAGTACTACATTATTTAATTGTATTTATAAGATCCTATTTAAGGGATGACAGATCAATAGCAACAGAACTAAAACTGAAAAACTATAGTCAGCAGTTCCTAGTCTTCAAACACAACAAATCAGTGAAAGAAAGAAAAAGCTAGAGACAGGATAAATGATCGCAATACTAAATTAAGCAGGAATGAGAGAGACTGGCAGAGAAAAGAGACTCTATTGCACTGTAATTTTCAGCCACATTTAACAATAGTGGTCAAACACAGCTTCGTCTTCCCTCATTGAAGCAGCATTGAGATCAAATGTTCTGCTGATGTGCACAGTGTCACTCAGCTTCAACAAACCAGTCAACCAGCCATCATTCTAAAAAGGGTTGACCACACTTTGTTGAAAGGATGCTGAACTCATATGACCTGGTCCACAGCAGCAATACAACAAAGTTCAGCATGAACTGACAAGGAGTTATGTTAGACACACATTTGCGAACTTGGTTGAAAATTCTAGTGGAGCCAGAGTTGAATATGACAAAAGAATAGGGAAGGCTAACCAGTTGCAAAGGGAAAGAATCTGGAGCTTACTCTTTTACTTCAACCCATCCTGGTCTCTGGCGCAGGATATCTAAGATGGTGTTTGTGAGCGCACATTTGAATCGGATGCAAGCTCTTGGTTCTCTGTGGGGAGGGAAAAAAAGACACCATACACTCTATGAAGTCCAAGAGCAAGCCTGCCACAAATGGAGATCTGGATTCTGTGCCTTGTTCTGCCACAGGCTCCTTGTAGGACTTTAGGAAACTCACTTAATCTCTTGTGCCTCAGGCTCTCCATCTGTACAATAATGATAATAATACTTTCCTATCTCACAGAAGTGTTGTGAAGATAAATTCATTAATATAGGCAAGGCGTTTATATACTATAGTGTCGAGCATCATCAGGAAGCCTATAAAGAAAATTAATTTTAAAATGAACTATGTTGAGACAACCAAAATCATTTTCATGTATGCCTTAACCAGTATATGTAAATATAATGTAATCTCCTGAAGTGCAAAGCATCTCACTCCCCTTTTTACTTTGATAGTTCAGACCTTCTAGTTATCCTCTAATCCAGGGGTTCTCAACCTTCTTCTTTCTGAGGCTCCCCCCAACATGCTCTAAAATTTCCAGGGCCCAGCAGACTCCAGAAAGGGCGTGGGGCTCCAGGCTTCAGCTGCAGGGGTACGGGGGGGGGGAGAAGATGGGGGGCTCAGGGCTTCTGCCCCATAGGATGCTGGACTTTAGCCCTGTGGGGCTGGGGGCTCAGGGCTTCTGCCCACCGGGGCGCCCAGCTTTAGCCCTGCGGAGTGGAAAGGGGGGATTGGGGCTTTATCCCCACAGGACTCCAGGGTTCGGGGCTCCTGGCTTTATCCCCACAGGGCGCTGGGGCTGGGATCTTCTGCCCGCCGTGCATTAGGGACCCCCTGAAATGACTCATGGACCCCCCAGAAGGCCTCAGACCCCTGGTTGAGAACTGCTTCTCTAATCAATAAGATAGCCTACATATTAGATAAAATTACATTTCAGCCATACCACCTTGTATTATGATCCCATCCAACCCTGCAGATTAAGTAAAAGGTTGGTCAGTGATGCACTACTGGATGTAGGCTACCAAGGAACACCTGTGTGCTGCAAGAAATGGTCCTACTGATTCTTTCCTCTAAGTCTGTAAATAATCAATGCCCCTAATTGTGTTACGAAGTGCTATGGTGCTGGAGGTACTATTTTTCAAATATGATACAAAAACAAGGTACTGACCACCTGTAGTCATTAAAAACACCAAGAAACTTTGGGTTAATTTCAGTGTCCTGGTCAAGTTCCATCTCAAGTAATTATTTTGCCTACCTAGAATTCCCCCTGCTGATTCAACTGATACTGTCTATTTCTTGTGCTAAATTGTTATGCACTGTTACCAAGCACTGTTAACTATTTGCCGTACTTCACCCCAGATGTAGCTGCATTTTAGTTGTGCATGAAATGATTCCCTACACAGTCTGAACATCAGTTTATTACATTTGGGATTCTTTGGGATGATGCAAGATCATGATTAGTTCTGGGCAGAGAAATAGATCTCATTTCAGGGGGATTCTGAAATTTTAGTTTTGTTCCCATTTGGAACAAAACCCCAACATTTTGAAATTCTGGAGCCCTGGCTCTGGGGTAGTCTGCTTGGAACTGTAGACCCTGGAGCCCTGAAGTCCTAGACTCTGAGATAATCCCCCTAGAGGGCTACCCCAGAGCCATGGACGCTGGAAACCCATCCTTCCCAGCAGCCTGCCAAGGAGCTGGGCAGGCAAGCTGGCAAAAAAACAGGCAAGTTTCTGATGGAAATATTTTGAGACATGTCTAGTTGCTGGAGGAACTTTGCCAAAATTGCACTGACTCCACAAAATATTTAAGTTATGACAAAAAATGTTTTGTCAGAATTTTTCCAACCAATTCAAATCATTACCACAAAGATATATTAGTAAGGAATATACAAGCCCAAGGATCTATGACTGAAGTGACAATACCAATTCCTATTTGAAAAGAAGCATGACCATCAAAGGCAGGCAAAACCCTGTTTATCAGAATAGTTGTGGAGGGAACAGTGATTGCACAAAGGCCACTGACCAGTTCTCGCAATGAGAAACAAATGTGAAGTAATACATAGCATATACCCACCCTCTTCATGTCCACATGCAAACATGTCATTCAATCTACGCTTCAGAAAAAGAATCACTCACCGTTCTTTCAGCTTCTGGTAGCCATAAGACCCTTTGTGGCCTGCATTCTGCAACAAGACAAGTAGAAAATAACTTATAACAATTAAATGGGGAGAATAAGGCTGGTGCAGAATAAGTTGTGGACAGCCCCTTGGAGGGCACTTTGTCCTGTGCAATTTCACCAGTATCTTTACAGTTTTCACTAGGATGCTGGCATATACAGCACTTGCCAATCAGGGCTGAACCTGACCCAAACTTTTTAGAGCAGGGACTGTTTTCAAGCACACTGTTGGCATTTAAATAACAACCATGCCAACACTTCATGAGATTTTTTAAAAATGCATTTGGTGTTCTTTTGATTTGCCCTCTGGATGTCAGCCTATTAGGGTTCCCATTCTCAGGCTTTCCCTGCAACCACAAGGGCTAGAGACTTACCTTAAAATAAAAAGGAAAGCTGTGATTTTCCTGTAATCACTTGCCTCCAGGAGATGGGGCTTTAAGGCACACACCAACTATTACAAGCAGAGCCCTGCAAATCGGTGGAGATCTGCTTTATACCCGCGGACCATGTTTGAGGATGGCGGGTTGGATGCGGACACACATTCTGTATCCGCGCAGGGCCCCAGTGACAAGCGCCAGTAACACTGTCACAAGGGGGGGGCAGGGGGGACCCTAGATTTGTACAGGCCTGGCTGCTATTAGGGTGTCCGGGGGCCGCTTCCGGGGGGGGCACAGTGCGTGTACCCAGCCCGTGGGGCGGCCTGCCCAGCTGCAGGGGGCCGGGCCCCCCGGGCCGCGTGACCCGAGGGGAGGGGGGGCCGGGCCCCCCAGGCCGCGTGACCCCGAGGGGAAGGGGGGCCGGGCCCCCCCGGTCTCCCCGGGCCGCGTGACCCCGAGGGGAGGGGGGGGCCCGGGCCCCCCGGGCCGCGTGACCCCGAGGGGAAGGGGGGGCCGCGCGGCCCTCACCTTATTCTTCGCCATGGCGCCGCCTCCCCGCGGTTGGGGTCACCCCCGAGCCGCCGCCATCTTGCGCGTCTCGTCCCCATAGCAACCAACCTCTTCCCCCGCCCACCGCGCTGGGGGCGGGGCCAGGTGCCGCGGCTCGTGCCCGGGCGGCCGGGGGCTGCGGGGGGGCCGGGGGCGCCACAACCTCTGTCTGCCCTTGAGTCCGGACAAATCCCCATTGACTCCACTGGGCGCCTTGCCTGAGGAAGAACTGCAGGGTCACGGGTTCTGTTCCTGCCTCTGCCGTGGAGGGTCAGACCTTTGTCCAGTCAAGGGCTCTTTCGGCCTCAGTTTCCCCACCTCACAAAGGCAGATCACGTGTGTGTCCCGTCCCCCCCCCCCTCCCGGCACAGTGGTGTCAGGACGTGGCTTTGAAAGCCTCAGCTGCTGGGTGCGAGAGAGACCCAACGTTATTTCAACCTGCCTGCAGCCTGTTTTCAAACGCAGGCTCACCCCCGTCCACGCCCTTCCACCCTGGCCTGGGGCCGGGTGCTCGAAGCTGTACAGCAGGCAGCGTGCGAACGGGATCCCTGCCCCAAAGAGCTGAACGCCCGAAAGGCACAGTGGGTACAGCAGGGTATAAAGTCACAGTCACAAGGACCGAAGCCTGCCCCCCCCTTACCCTCCTACCAAGCACCTCACAATATGTGACGGATTCAGCTTCACAGCGTGACTTACGGCCATTATCTCTGTTGCCCAGATGGGGAACGGAGGCAGAGGGAGACTAAGGGATTTGCCCCCCCTGATGGGGAACGGAGGCACAGGGAGACTAAGGGATTTGCCCCCCCCAGATGGGGAACGGAGGCACAGGGAGACTAGGGGATTCCCCCCCCCCCCCAGATGGGGAACGGAGGCACAGGGAGACTAGGGGATTCCCCCCCCCCCCCCCAGATGGGGAACGGAGGCACAGGGAGACTAGGGGATTCCCCCCCCAGATGGGGAACGGAGGCACAGGGAGACTAGGGGATTCCCCCCCCCAGATGGGGACCAGAGGCACAGGGAGACTAGGGGATTCCCCCCCCCAGATGGGGAACGGAGGCACAGGGAGACTAGGGGATTTTCCCCCCCCCAGATGGGGAACGGAGGCACAGGGAGACTAGGGGATCCCCCCCCCCCCCAGATGGGGAACGGAGGCACAGGGAGACTAGGGGATTCCCCCCCCCCCAGATGGGGACCAGAGGCACAGGGAGACTAGGGGATTTGCCCCCCGCCCCAGATGGGGAACGGAGGCACAGGGAGACTAAGGGTTTTGCCCAAGGTCACACAGGGAGTACCTGTGGCGAAAATCAAACCGCAATTGTCTCAGTCCCAGGCTAGCACCCAACCAGATCCAAAGTCCTCCAAAGTTCAGAAATGTTTGGATCAGGAGTTTTGCCTGAATGCCTCTCGCTGCTGGGCATGAGCATGTAGCAAACAGGGCAGGTGGTTACTGCTGTCAGCTGGCATGCCTTGGGGAGTGGGTTGATGGAGGTATGTCTGTAAATAAGGAGTGTACTCATGAACGCAGTATGTGGTATGTTCCCAGACACCCTGACATTGATGGACAGTACCTGATTGCCACTTTCTCTCTGTGATCCCTTGACCTTGCATTCCACTCTACACCGGCTGCATTATCACGCCTGGCAGTACAAAGCAAGAGGTTACTCGAGAGGAAGGGAAGTTTTGCCTGTGTGTGAGTGAGCAGCAAGAGCTGGAATTGCTGCCAAGCTGCAAGTTTCTCTTGAGAGGTAGGAGTTCTGGTCTCATAGTACTGATTGCCCCGGGGGGTACAGGCAGGAGTGGGCATCCCTTTGAGCATTCAGCTGCATGGCTTAACAGACCTTCCTTCTGGAGAGCAAGGGGGACAAAGGGTTTTGTTATTTCTCCAACACTGAGGCTTTGTTCAGATTTGCTTGGAAAGCAGCAGCACTAAGTCAGCAGACAGCATGGCCTTAGCACTCCCACATGAGTGCTGAGGGGTGGGGTTTCTCCTCTATTGTCTCTGCCCTGGGCAAGAGAACAACTGGTACAAGGCACTTTAAGAGTAGCTTCACCATCTGGGAGGGAGGCAGATCCACGGAGAAGCGCTTCTGTCATTGAACATTTCAGAGGCAGCTAAGATTTCAACTGGGGAAACGCCGGTGCCACCGCATCAAGAGACAACACCTGCGCGCCCCTTGCCATCCACAGTAATTGCTTTGCACCATGGGAAATGGCATGAACAAGGTAAAGATAAACACTCTGAGACACTAGTTTTGTGGATCTCTGTTCCCTCTGAGACAGGCTTTTCAGAGCTTTTAGGGTGCGAGGTCTCTTTATTGGACTCCATTTCTTGGAAAGCAAGAGCCAGGCGCCACTTCATGTTAGATTTCAGGGCACCCTCATGTATGCTTAATTTTACAGTGAAATCTACTTTAAGGGACCAGCAAAAACCAGCTTCTCTAGTAGAAGTGGGTCTTAACTACAGGTTGAGCAAAGGTGGACAAGAAACCACATGGGGATTCTTTAGCAGTCATGTAAGTCAGTAGGCAAAGTCCTTAGTACAGGTCTGGCGTGTCAGTAAGGTTTCTAAGCAACTGTGCTATTACCCTAGGAAGACAGCAATAAGTAGACAGACATCAGAGCTGATCAATGGTGATCCTGGGATTCCTCCCCAGGAGATTACAGCAGTGCCACCAGAGAGGCCAGGAGGTCAGTGCACGGCCCAGGACATTACCCTGTGAAGGTGAAAGAAAAGTTCTACACCACCTTAGAGAACTAGATGAGATAAGCACATGACAAGAGATCTGTAAGGTGTGACCTTTGTACTGCACCACTCGGCTTCTCAGCATTCCCAGTAGCAGCTGCTCTAACACCACGGGCTTTGCTGTATACAATATCCAGGGCATAGCTTATCGGAGAGGGCAGCCACTGCTTCCCCTTCAGTGAAGTTTTCCCAAGTTGCAAGGAAGTGACTTTATTTGCCTGTATAAGAACCTCCATTCTTAACCCTGTTTTTAAATTAGTCTCCCTCTCTGCGCTATCACTGCACAGCGAAGAGTTTTGTGATAATTTGGATGAAGGGTGCAATATATCAAACTATTGCATTTCACGGAGGAGTAGGACTGAATGAGACATGTTATTGTGTAATAAGGACATTCTTGGATACATAGCTACTGCAGTTTCCCCTTTAGACGTGTCCTTTCACTACAGCAATCTCTTAGAATCTAATTTCTATGATAGCTGAAAGTTAGTTTGTAAAAGGCACATTGTCTATATAAATTTGATCCAAATTTTAAATATTAAAAAAAAAAAACTCTTCTGAACAATGAGGTCAATAGAAACATTTCCAAATTTACTTTTTTTTAAAAAAGTGAAACTGTAGTTTTAAGCTTTCCCCTGCAGTGTTTGCAAACCAACCACTGAAGCATCAAGAACTTTAAACTGACGATAAAAAAAAGTCAAATGCTCAACTACGAAATGGGGAATAACTGGCTAGGTGGTCATACTGCTGAAAAGGATCTGGAGGTTATAGCGGACCACAAACTGAATAGGAGTTTCAGAGTAGCAGCCGTGTTAGTCTGTATTCGCAAAATGAAAAGGAGGACTCACCACCTTAGAGACTCACCAATTCTTTTGAGCATAAGCTTTCGTGAGCTACAGCTCACTTCATCCGAATTCATTCATTCATTTTCTTTTTGCGAATACAGACTAACACGGCTATTACTCTGAAATCTGATCACAGTCTTCCATATGTTAAGAGGCATTTTAAAGAGGATGGGGATCAGCTGTTCTCCACCTCCACTGAAGGTAGAACAAGAAGTAATGGGCTTAATCTGCAGAAAGGGACATTTTAGGTTAGACATTAGGAAAAACTTTCTAACTGTAAGGGTATTTAAGCTCTGGAACAGGCTTCTAAGGGAGGTCATGGAAGATCATTGGAAGCTTTTAAAAACAAGTTGGACAAACACCTGTCAGGGATGGTCTAGCTTTATTTGGTCCTTCCACAGCACAGGGGGCTGGACTCAATGACTTCAAGGTCTTATCCAACCTTACATTTCTATGAAAAGTGAAAACGACTCCTTTAGTTTTCATTGTCCAGGCTGAGAGAAATGTAAAAATGTAAACAAAGAAGTTATGAGTACACTGAATTTTTAAACGTCTCACTTCTAATAGCCTAAGGTGCTATTAGTAAGGGAGGTGTCATAAATATAAAGGGAAGGGTAAACCCCTTTGAAATCCCTCCTGGCCAGGGGAAAGCTCCTCTCACCTGTAAAGGGTTAAGAAGCTAAAGGTAACCTCGCTGGCACCTGACCAAAAGGACCAATGAGGAGACAAGATACTTTCAAAAGCTGGGAGGAGGGAGAGAAACAAAGGGTCTGTGTCTGTCTGTAGTTGTCTTGGCCGGGGATAGACCAGGAATGGAGTCTTAGAACTTTTAGTAAGTAATCTAGCTAGGTATGTGTTAGATTATGATTTCTTTAAATGGCTGAGAAAAGCATTGTGCTGAATAGAATAACTATTTCTGTCTGTGTATCTTTTTTGTAACTTAAGGTTTTGCCTAGAGGGGTTCTCTATGTTTTTGAATCTAATTACCCTGTAAGATATCTACCATCCTGATTTTACAGGGGGGATTTCTTTATTTCTATTTACTTCTATTTTTTATTAAAAGTCTTCTTGTAAAAAACTGAATGCTTTTTCATTGTTCTCCGATCCAAGGGTTTGGGTCTGTGGTCACCTATGCAAATTGGTGAGGCTTTTTATCCAACATTTCCCAGGAAAGGGGGGGTGCAAGTGTTGGGAGGATTGTTCATTGTTCTTAAGATCCAAGGGTCTGGGTCTGTAGTCACCTAGGCAAATTGGTGAGGCTTTTTACCAAACCTTGTCCAGGAAGTGGGGTGCAGGGTTTTGGGAAGTATTTTGGGGGGAAAGACGCGTCCAAACAGCTCTTCCCCAGTAACCAGTATTAGTTTGGTGGTGGTAGCGGCCAGTCCAAGGACAATGGGGGGAATATTTTGTACCTTGGGGAAGTTTTGACCTAAGCTGGTAAAGATAAGCTTAGGAGGTTTTTTTCATGCAGGTCCCCACATCTGTACCCTAGAGTTCAGAGTGGGGGAGGAACCTTGACAGGAGGTAAAGAAATGTTTGTTTCCAGCCTACGGTTTGGAAGTTCATTCTGTCCCTAACAAAATTAAGTCTGCAACAGATGTCTTCTCACTATGGGAAATACAGTAGGTAGATTACTGGAATTGAGTAATTGTGGGAATTAAAGTATTTAAAACTTTAGATTTTCAGACAGTTTAGGGGCACAATTACATGTGCAAAATGTGCACCTCATTTGAATGCACAATTACCATGATTGCATGCACAGATCAGACATGCAGTTGTGTTCCTAAATTCTGTGACAAACTGGCCTGCTATTCTTGTGTTGGGAACAAGTTTTTTTCAGAAAAAAAAGAAAGAAAAGGAAGGACTTCTTATAGGACTGGCACTATTTGGCTAAATGGAGGAGGGAGTGTGATCTAGTGGTCCGAGCAGGGGACTGCTGAGTTCTGTACCTGATTGTGCCACTGACTTCATAGTTGGCCTCGGGCAAGTCCTGTAACTTCTGTGCCTTATTATATCCCTGTTTTAGAGATGGGGAAACTATGTACTAATTCCCCAGGGTCTGAGACTTAATTGATAAATGACTTTTGAGGTTCTCGGATGAAAAGCACTAGCAACATACAAATTGTTGTTAATTATTAATGATTATTTTAAAAAGCAACAGCAGTTTCCCAGAGTCACATCCTTAAGAACATAAGAACGGCCATACTGGGTCAGACCAAAGGTCCATCCAGCCCAGTAGCCTGTCTACTGACAGTGGCCAATGCCAGGTACCCCAGAGGGAGTGTACAGAACAGGTAATCATCAAGTGATCTCTTTCCTGCCATCCATCTCCACCCTCTGACAAACCGAGGCTAGGGACACCATTCCTTGCCCATCCTGGCTAATAGCCATTAATGGACTTAACCTCCATGAATTTATCCAGTTCTCTTTTAAACCCTGTTATAGTCCTAGCCTTCACAACCTCCTCAGGCAAGGAGTTCCATAGATTGACTGTGTCCTGTGTAAAGAAGAATTTCCTTTTATTTGTTTTAAACCTGCTGCGCATTAATTTCATTTGGTGGCCCCTAGTTCTTATATTATGAGAACAAGTAAATAACTTTTCCTTATTCACTTTTTCCACACCACTCATGATTTTATAGACCTCTATCATATCCCCTCTTAGTCTCCTCTTTTCCAAGCTGAAAAGTCCTAGCCTCTTTAATCTCTCCTCATATGGGACCCGTTCCAAACCCCTAATCATTTTAGTTGCCATTTTCTGAACCTTTTCTAATGCCAGTATATCTTTTTTGAGATGAAGGACCACATGTATATGCAGTATTCAAGATGTGGGCGTACCATGGATTTATATAAGGGCAATAAGATATTCTCCTTCTTATTCTCTATCCCTTTTTTAGTGATTGCTAACATCCTGTTTGCTTTTTTGACTGCCGCTGCACACTGTGTGGATGTCATCAGAGAACTATCCACGATGACTCCAAGATCTCTCTCCTGATTAGTTGTAGCTAAATTAGCCCCCATCATATTGTATGGATAGTTGGGGTTATTTTTTCCAATGTGCATTACTTTACATTTATCCGCATTAAATTTCATTTGCCATTTTGTTACCCAGTCACTTAGTTTTGTGAGATCTTTTTGAAGTTCTTCACAGTCTGATTTGGTCTTAACTATCTTGAGCAGTTTAGTATCATCTGCAAACTACCACCTCCCTGTTTAACCCTTTCTCCAGATCATTTATGAATAGGTTGAATAGGATTGGTCCTAGGACTGACCCTTGGGGAACAACACTAGTTACCCCTCTCCATTCTGAAAATTTACCATTTATTCCTATCCTTTGTTCCCTGTCTTTTAACCAGTTCTCAATCCATGAAAGGATCTTCCCACTTATCCCATGACTACTTAATTTACGTAAGAGCCTTTGGTGAGCGACCTTCTCAAAGGCTTTCTGGAAATCTAAGTACACTATGTCCACTGGATCCCCCTTGTCCACATGTTTGTTGACCCCCTCAAAGAACTCTAATAGATCAGTAAGACACAATCTCCCTTTACAGAACCCATGTTGACTTTTGCCCAACAATTTATGTTCTTCTATGTGTCTGACAATTTTATTCTTTCCTATTGTTTCAACTAATTTGCCCGGTACTGACGTTAGACTTACTTGCCTGTAATTGCTGGGATCACCTCTAGAGCCCTTCTTAAATACTGGCGTTACATTAGCTATCTTCCAGTCATTGGGTACAGAAGCTGATTTAAAGGACAGGTTACAAACCATAGTTAACAGTTCCGCAATTTCACATTTGAGTTCTTTCAGAACTCTTGAGTGAATGCCATCTGGTCCCGGTGACTTGTTACTGTTAAGTTTTTCAATTAATTCCAAAACCTCCTCTAGTGACACTTCAATCTGTGAAAAGAAAAGGAGTACTTGTGGCACCTTAGAGACTAACCAATGTGCCACAAGTACTCCTTTTCTTTTTGCGAATACAGACTAACACGGCTGTTACTCTGAATTCAATCTGTGACAATTCCTCAGGTTTGTCACCTACAAAAGACGGCTCAGGTTTGGGAATCTCCCTAACATCCTCAGCTGTGAAAACTGAAGCAAAGAATTCATTTAGTTTCTCCACAATGACTTTATCATCTTTAAGTGCTCCTTTTGTATCTCGATAGTCCAGGGGCCCCACTGGTTGTTTAGCAGGCTTCCTGCTTCTGATGTACTTAAAAAACATTTTGTTATTACCTTTTGAGTTTTTGGCTAGCTCTTCTTCAAACTTCTTTTTGGCTTTTCTTTTTACATTTTTACACTTAATTTGGCAGTGTTTATGCTCTTTTCTATTTACCTCACTAGGATTTGACTTCCACTTTTTAAAAGATGGCTTTTTATCTCTCATTGCTTCTTTTACATGGTTGTTAAGCCACAGTGGCTCTTTTTTAGTTCTTTAACTGTGTTTTTTAATTTGGGGTATACATTTAAGTTGAGCTTCTATTATGGTGTCTTTGAAAAGTATCCACGCAGCTTGTTAGTGACTTCACTGGCAGGGGTCCAGGAAGGGGGAGGGTTGGTGGTGCAGAGTGGTGGTTTCCTTTGTTTGTTTTGGTTCTTCTTGGCTTGTTCTGAGAGGCAAGCATGCTACAGGCTTCCTCTCTGTCTGAATGCTGGATGGGAGGGTGGGGAAGGGATGCAACACACCAGGAGTCACCCTCTTTCAGGCTGAATCTTCTCTTTTGTGTCCTGCAGGTTCTCCCTGGACTTTACCTTGGGAACTTCATAGGTGAGCAGCACTGCTGAGAGCACCCAGAGAACTGTCTGAGCTGGAAAGTTACCGATAGTCTGTGTTGCATGACATGTATGTAGTCCTCTGCCCCACTGTCCCCCATTACGAGGGAGCCTTGTTCTCTCCAGGCCCTGACAACACTGTGTGTGCTTATTTAGACCAGAAGCACTGGTATCAAAGTGATTAATATCCTGAGAGGTGACATCCAGAGGAGCTAGAGATGCTCAACCACACAACTTGTCCTACAGAAGACAGGGATTGTTCTGTACTGCATGGATGTGGGAGAGAGATTTCTACCTGGCTTGGTCGTGATTAAGAAGCACCATCATATCTCATTAAGCTTCCTGTGCTCCTGGGTCACTCTGTCATAGGCATTGTCTCCATCATGGCAGGCAGAGAGGTGTCAGCACCCCTGCAAGAATCCCTTCCTCTCACTTCCTGATTCTTGCATTTAACTCAAGTGCCACATCCTCACCTGCAAGGCCCTGCCTACTCTCCTACCTACCTCTGCTCTCCTCTCCCCTCTTCCCTTTTCTCCATCTGTCACTCTTCCCCTGGTGCTTGGGAGAAGTGCTCTCCCCCTTGTCCACTCAAGGCTCTCTCCTCTCACCTGCTTTATTCCCCAGTGTGATCAGTGTTCTTAGCCTGGTGTAGGGGTGGGACATGAAACTGTGGTGCCCAGAGAGAGGCGTAAAAAGCTAGACAGGTAGGAGGGGCTCTTGTTCAATTCAGGGACGTGAACCACAGCTGTGAGGATGTTGGGGAGCAAGGTGACAGTCAGGACAAGCACCCAAAGGGTTAAAGAGCGCCATACTGACTCTGGGCATCATGAAGTAGTACCACCCATGTGTGACTCCGAGTGTCTTGTGTTCCAACACCATGACTCTGCCTCTCCCACTCTGACACAACATCTTGATACCAGCTATAAATATCACAGCACTGGGGGTGGCAATTCTTCTGCCCTATAGACAACTAGCAGTAGACAGGGAAACCTGTTAGCTCATGCAGTGTACCAGTGGTCACCTGTTTCCCCTCTGGCGAAGGGTGTCAGAAACCCAGCTGGCCGCCTGCTGCAAAATCTCACTGTGTGGTGTTTGCAGGCGTTGTGATTCTCTACGATGACAATGGCACATGAGCAGCAGAGTGTAACCATTTATTTCCACAGGCTCAGAGCGGGAGATCTGGGAAGGGAAAACAAGACAATTCTTCCTCTTATTCCCCCTTAGGGGCCTCAGTAACTCATAGGATCTCAGGATTTACAGGTGGAAGAGGCCTAGTCAATGAGTGAGGCCATGCCCTTGCTAGGAGAGGATACAGTGGAATCTCCATCCGTAGAGGTTTTTAAGCCCTGGCTGGACAAAGCCCTGGCTGGGATGATTTAGCTGGGGTTGGTCCTGCTTTGAGCAGGGGGTTGGACTAGATGACCTCCTGAGGTCTCTTCCAACCCTAATCTTCTATGATACAGTCCCCTCAAAAGAAGATACATCTGATAGGACACTCAGTTGTCTCAAGAAGGCCATTGACTTTGTTTCTGTGCATTAAGACAGGCAGTTCATTGACTGAAAAGCCTTCTCAGAAGCCTTTGTCCAATGCACAGCGGATTCGAAAGTAGTTTGGACGAAGACTCCGAAAGGCAGTGAGACCCCCTGTATATCACAGACTAGAGTATTTCACGCATTTATCCTGTACTGAGCCCAATATCTACAGTAGACAGCATCCAGAATACTCAGACTCCAGGTTAACCAGAAAGGTTAAAGCAAGTCCAAGGCCTGCTACATTCAATCTTGGACTGGTGCTACAAGAGCACTGCTCAACCAAGAAATTGGGAGTCATGGTATAGATTTAAAGTTCAATATCTTGTGAACTGCCAGAGCTAGAGACATGTTTTCCAACTGAAAGCATCCTCTGTCCTGGTAGGTCACAAAACACTGGACATTAAAATCATGTCAGTCTAAGTACCATCATGTCAGACCCCCATACTAAGGTAATACAAACAGATAAAGGGATGGGTAGTTCTTGCTCTCCCCTCCACCCCCCTTGAATTCTGACATGGAACGACTCTCTTAGATTCTCTATTGTATTAAATATTTATATAGTGCCATTAGCACACGGTGCTTTAGAACTACAAGCCAATGCTTGATACCACTTGAACATTTAGAATCCCAAAGCTTTGAGATGGGAAAAAGCAGTGCCTAACTAGCAGCTTGCAAACTAACAGTTGCTAAAATCATAAGAGAAAAACCTGCTGCAAAGATGCTTAGTTGGCCAGAACAGCATGCTCACCTTCCAGAAGATTGACCCTAGCTCCTGAACGAATGACCAGAACCACAAAATACTGAGACCTGTTAGAGAAGCTAGGTCACTGTTCTGTAGGAACGGGGAGGACATCTAGGAATCCTCATTCAGGTAGGTACAATTCGAAAGATGACAAATGCAACAAAGCTAGTTGAGCGTATGTCAGGAGAATTGGGGAACAATCATCCGTTGAGATAAGTTCAAACATTAAAGAGTTCAGGCCGACGGGGCCGCTCTCAGACATGTTGTAAGTGGGTGCAGCTCCTTTGCTGCTGTTAATGGATGGGGTAAATTGTACATGCAGCAATACAAGCTGCTAGTATTTATGCTACGTTTGCATGTTGGGTAAGAGTGTGTTCCTTCATGTGGGAGCATTTGGATGTGTGCATGCTGCAAGCAGGTATGCGAATGTGTTTGCATGTGTGTTTGCACACATTTTTCCAAGCATGTGTTCATTATACTGTGGCATGTTGGGGTGCGTTTGAATTCATTCAGGTGTGAGCAGGCAGGGTGCGTGTTCATTTAGGGAGGTGTCTTTTGGTGTAATGTGTGTGCATGCACATAGCGATTTATAGGTTGTTTTCAGCTGTGGCAGCATTTGCTCACCTGCAGTGTGTATTGGCACCTGTGTGTGTGTGTAATGCAGCTATGTGTTTCTATGCAGCAAGGTGTGTGCATGCTTATTTGTCTGCAGGGGTGCGGCAGGCATGCTCGTGGGACGTGTAATAACTAAGTACATACTGCAATCTCATTGTGTTTTTCCTTCTTTCAGATGCCAAAGATTTGGAGCAACTGAGCAGGAATAAGATCACCCACATTATTTCAATCCATGAATCTCCCCAGCCACTACTGCAGGTAGGTATCTAAGTCCCTAACATCACCCCTCTGCCTTCTACTCATCCACTTGCCCCTAACATCCTCCTTCTCCCTCAAGAAGAAAAGCCACAGTGATAGCTACCCACCCTTCAACAGTCTCAAAGGAACTGGGTTGCTCCTTCAGCCTTCCTGTGACTATAACCCCCAAATCTAAGAGTCCCAAAGATACGCTCAGAAAGCAAAATGATCAGGGACTGTCTGCTCTTTGGCCTTAGTTAGAGATCACTGAGTCCTCATCTCTGTTTATCCCGTCGCTATCCAAAGTCACTGATTTCCTTCCCTGATCACTCATTCCGTGGTCTGCATTCCCAGATGGATAGTGGACATTGCTCCTTGGACTCTGGAGGTATTTTCAGGAGCAGAGGGAGGTGGTACTTGCTTTACTGTCATGGGAAAGCTGGGGTTGGGGTAGGGAAGTAGTAACTAAAGGGCTAAAGGGGAGTTGTCTTTGTAGAGTGAGCAGCTCTGGGGGCAGCCCTTTGGGAAAATAAGACCTTCAGATCTCTCGGGGGTCCTAACCTTGACCTGTGCATTTTGTGCATTTCAGGAAATGACTTATCTTCGCATTCCTCTGCCAGATACACCCGAGGCCAACATGTAAGTTCCAAGCCAAGGCTGCTCCAGAATCAGAGTCACGGGGAACCTTGGAGCTTGCAGGACAAACTGGGGGATAGGCACTAACTGCACTGCTGAGGCCTCAAACCAGCTGTCTCCAGTGGACACTCAGGATGGCACCTTGCCAGAGAGTCCTGTAGGATGAAACAATCATACCATACCGCTGGGACGGTGTCACAGTCACAATGCAACACCCTGCCTGAGCTTAGTTTGAGAGGTGTCACAAGCTAGTTACAGGCTCCCTAAACTCAGGATGGCAGACACCACTCGAGAATCCAGTGGCCACAGACCACTGCGAGGGAGGGGTAGCATGCTTAGCTGAATAAGAGCGGGGGTGGTGGAGGAGGGGAAAAGGGTCCTACTTCGGAGGTATGAATAACAGAGCAGGGCTTTGGGGTTGTGTGCGATGCACTCAGCACTGAGGTATGCGAGCACTAACCGAGGGCTCAAACAGACAAGCTGCCTGAGGCTAGAGTTTGGCTCATTTTCATTAACTCCTGGAAAGTGCCCCTCAGTCTTCGGCTGTGCCTGGACTGGTGCGTAGAGCACGGGTGCCCTCCGGAAGCCTGGCAGCTGCTGCTTTGGAGCCCTCTGCTGTAGGGTGCGCTGAATAGCCTGGAGCATCAGCCCCCTGGCACGGCTACTTCTTCTGGAAGCACTGATGCACCATGCTGTTAAATCAGCAGCTGTGAATGGTGCCTAGGAAAGAAGCAGTGATCACTATTTTAGTTTGCTCGCCTTGCCCTGCGCACCATGGGGCACCTGCGGCTCCTGGTAAAATCCTATTTCACAGCCTGGAGTAGGGTGACCTTACAGCAAATGTGAAAAATCGGGACAGGGGTGGGGAGTAATAGGAGACTATATAAGAAAAAGACCCAAAAATCAGAACTTTCCCTATAAAATCGGGACATCTGGTCACCCTAGCCTGGAGTCTTCATTCTATTTTATTTTTCCTGCTAGCAAGAAGCACTTTAAAGAATGTATCAATTTTATCCACTACTGTCGCCTGCATGGAGGGACCTGCCTTGTTCACTGGTAATGCTCCCTTCCAATGACCCTCATGCAGCTTTCTCCCAAGTACAGTGCAGTGGAAGCTGGACTGGGCAGCAGAGTCCCCAGAAGGCCCAGGCTTTGTAGGAAACAGATTGCACATGCTGGGCTCAGCTTACCAAACACAGCAAGTGTGTGCTGACGGGCTCTGCTTGTGGGTGAACCTCGCTTGAGACTGGGGTGTTGCCTGGAGACAGAGATCATGCGAGTGTCTCCCCAGCCCCGCTTGATTTAAGGATGCCGTTGGGTTAGAGGACTGTTTACCAAGCAGATAGGGCAGCATTAGTTTCAGTTGTAATGGAGAGGAAGAGGAACCGATTTGGGGGCAGGACTCCAGGAAGTGGCTCATGTTTTCACTTCTTCTAGGGGCTGTAATGTGTGTATAGATCTAATTGAGGTCATGGTGAAAGTGTCCCGTCTCCAGGAGAATCATAGAAGATCAGGGTTGGACGGGACCTCAGGAGGTCATCTAGTCCAACCCCCTGCTCAAAGCAGGACCAATCCCCAATTTTTGTCCCAGATCCCAAATGGCCCCCTCAAGAATTTAACTCACAACCCTGGGTTTAGCAGGCCAATGCTCAAACCACTGAGCTATCCCTCCCCCCTCCAAGGAGGAACTGAAGTAGCCATGAAGAAAGAAGGAGGGCATGGTGGTGGGGGTGGGGATGGGCTCGAAGGAGGATGGCTGTGAGTGGGGGTGGGAATGAGGAAGAAACAGCAAAATCAAGGCCCTGTTTTTCCCCACTTCTGACTCCAGCCTTGCGGGGATCTCCCGGAGCACCACCATTGTTGTTGCCTATGTCATGGCAGTGACAGAGCTAAGCTGGCAAGAGGTATTGCAGGCGGTAAGAGCAGTGCGACCGATTGCCAATCCCAACCCCGGCTTCAGGCAGCAGCTGGAGGTGTTCGGCCACGGCCCTGCACGAAAGGTGAGAGCAGAAGGCTGCGTATAGCCATGGTGACTGTGGTCAGTCCTTATATAGCGCTTCCCAGGCATTGCGCAAGCCCAGGGAGAGAAGGACTCAGAATCCAGAGCGGGACCTGGATCCCCAAAGAGCAAGGGAGAGCTCGGAAGAAGAGAGAGAAAAGGTGGTCATTAGAAAGAAACGGATCAAGACGTGGGATCCAATGGTGGGGAAAGGCATCAGAGAGATCTATAATCCCCCACAGAAAGAGAGAGGCTGTCCTGAGAGAGATTCCCAATGAGAGAGCCACACAATCCCCCCTCCTTCCAAACACAGCATATGGCCAGGCCACCAGGGCTAGCAACCCCCCCAGGCCGACAGGACCCCGACTCCTGCCTGCAGTAGTGCAGCCTGCAGCTTGGACCAGGCCCCCAGCAGGTCACGGTAGCACTCACCACCTGCTTGACGTGCTGCACTGCCCTGCCACTGCATTCCTATTGGTCACTCACATGGCCACAAGCACAAACCAAGGGCATCTTCCTTGCCCCATTTAACTGGGCAACCTAGGTAATTACAGGCCTGCTAGCCTGACGTCGATCCCAGGCAAGGTAATGGAGCGGCTGATACAGGACTCGATTAATAAAGAATTAAAGGAGGGTATTGTAATTAATGCAGGCAGCATGGGTTTATAGAAAATAGATTCTGTCAAACTAATAGATATGCTTCTATAAGGCATTTGACTTGGTATCAAATGATGTTTTGATAAAAAAAACTATCACGATATAAAATTAATATGGCACACATTAAGTGGATTAAAAACTGGCTAAGTGATCGGTCTCAAAATGTAATGAATAGCCATCCAGTTGGTATGTTTACAGTGGGGTCCCACAGGGATCGGTTCTTGGCCCTATGCTATTTAACATTTTTATCAGTGACCTGGAAGAAAACATAAAATCATCACTGATAAAGTTTGCAGATGACACAAAAATTGGGGGAGTGATAAATAACGGAGAAGAACAAGTCACTGATTCAGAGCAATCTGGATCACTTGGTAAACTGGATGCAAGCAAACAATACGCATTTTAATATGGCTAAATGGATATGTGTTCATCTAGGAACAAAGAACACTGGCCAAGGACTCTATCCTTGGAAGTAGTGACTCTGATGGTGGATAATCAGCTGAACATGAGCTCCCAGAGTGCCGTTGTGGCCAAAAGAGTGAATCTGGGATGCATAAACCAGGGAATCTTGAGCAGGAGCAGAGGGGTTGTTCTACCTCTCTGTGTTTGCTGCTGGAATCCTGTGTCCAGTTCTGGTGCCCACAATTCAAGAAGGCTGTTGATAAATTAGAGGCGGTTCAGAGAAGAGCCATGAAAATGTTTCAAGGATTAGAAAACACACCTTAGAGTGATAGATTGAAGGAGCTCAGTCTACTTAGCTTAAGAAAGGGAAGGTTAAGGGGTGGCTTGACTACAGTCTACAAGTACCTACATGGGGAACAAATGTTTAATAATGCTCTCTTCAGTCCAGCAGAGAAAGCTCTAACATGATCCAGTGGCTGGAAGTGGAAGCTAGACAGATTCAGACTGGAAAGAAGGTGTAGATTTTTGACAGTGAGGGTAGTTAACCATTGGAACAATTTACCAAGGCTCATGGTGGATTTTCCATCTCTGACCATTTTAAAAGCATGATTGGATGTTTTTCTAAAAGATCTGCTCTGGGAATGATTTGGGGGACGTTTCATGTAGAAGGTCAGACTAGGTGATCACAGTGGTCCCTTCTGGCCTTGCAATCTGTGAACCTATCAACATCTGGGCACTCCCCCGAGTGGCACTTAGCTCCCTGCTCTCTGAGGGAGGCAGGAAGACCAAGGAGGCCCAATACGTGGACTGACTGAAGCAGAGGTGGGGCCAGCAGGAACACGTGGAGCTCCCACATCACCAGCATCTTGGAGAGGGTCAGTAGGAAAAGAGAAAGCAAAGCAGGAGAGACCAAATCCTAATCAATTCTGTGGAGCGGTACACTCTCCCGCTCCTCCAGTACCGTGCATATCGCCTCCTGGCCTCCCTTGTATCAAACGTGGCAGGATCACCAATTCCCAGGACCTTGGATTTCTGTCCATTTGAAATATGGCACCTGCAGCAGCCCAAGCTGGGTTATTGGTTTGCTCCTTATGGCAAAGGAAAAGCACCACCTACAGAGCCATCAACACCTGTTACACCTCAATATATCCTGGAGGTCACCCATCTAAATACTGAGCCAATACATTTCCCTTTACTGGGGCCAGTTCCTCAGTGGTGCAAATCAGTATCGCGATTCGTTTCCATTGAGCTACCCAGATTTATACCCGATGAGGATCTGGCCCATAACACGTAGCTCAGTGCAAGAGAGAGACAGGAGAGGGGTCTAGGAGCGCTGTGAGAGGAGAATAGGCCACAGTATATTACAGCACATGTTCAGCCTCAGAAATTCCGCACTTTGTGACCCAGCTGAACTGGGCCATCACAAACCTCTGAAGCACCTGGCATTGGCCACTGTCAGGAGACAGGATACTGGGATAGATGGATCCTTGGTCTGACCCAACCTGACCGTTCTGATGTTCTCCTTGCACCCTGCAGATTCACAGACACCTGGAGCAGAGATATGGAGCCAACACTTTCAATGACGAGGAGGAGATAAGGCTCCTGCTTCCAGCAGACAGAGAAGGCACATCCAGGACAGATGGACCCCTGCAGGGACTGATGCCAAGGAGCAAAGACATCAAGAACACAGTCCCCTTTCTGCTGCGGGTGAAGCAGACATTCTCCTGCATCCCCACCTGTTTGAAGTGAGTCCAGCTGAGGCACAGAGAGGAGGGAAGCAAGGCATTCTGGGAAAGTGCATAGCCTAACATATCAGACTGACAAACACCAAGGCCTGGAAAGGGACACCCCTGCTATTGTATGTCAGGGGAGAGGTACGGTCCAGTGGAGCAAGCACAGGCCTGGGAGCCAGGAACTCCTGGGTTCCCATCCAAGCTCTGTTGTCTTCCTCTGTGGCTTTGGGCAAGTCACCAAACATCTGCCTCAGTTTCCCCATCTAACGTGTGGGGGGTTAATTCTTATGTTTCTATTTCCCAGGCTGCTGTGAGGGTTGGTTAGTAAATATACAAAGGGCACTGGGAGGGTTAGATGTGCTGACTATCATCATCAGTGAACAGATCGGCCTTGAGCACACAGCATTGAGCCCCAGCTTACTGAGTCAGATCAGAACAGCTGTGCAGGAGGGGATTTTCCTGCCGCTAAGAGACTGTATTGGAAAGTAGCAGCCAGGGATGGACTTTGGCAGCAGATTTTAATACTTCAATAAATGCTGCACTGAACCCATAAAAATAAAATGAAGTGTGGGGGCATGTCTCTTTATAGATGAAACTTTTTCCATCAGCAAGTGGTTTCCACTGTCCAGGGGGATTGATAAGAAGTGTGTGTGTGTTTTCCATTAGACCCAGTACACCAGCCAGGAGACAGCTCTCATGCAGGCAAAGGTCCAAATGTAGGCAACAGGCTAAGTAGAAATCAAGAATGAACTGTGTGTTAACAGGGTTGCACTCCATTTCCTCTGATCCTGGTGTGGTCTCCCACAGGGGGCAAATAATATTTAACACAGGGCTAGCTATTGCTAGAGCTGAATATGAAGCCATTTTGTTTGAAGACTTTTTACATACGTATTTCCTAATAAACTTCTTCTCAGTGCAGAGTTTTATGTACATTTCAGCACAGAGCAGAGTTCAATCGGAAAAAGGGGGTGTGATGATTGGGGAAGACTGGGAGTGAGCAAGGCTCTCTGGAGCCAGAAAGAGCCTTTGGGAGTATGTAACATCCCTGCCACCAATGCTCCCATGCGGCTGCAGCAGAGTGGACTAGGACATTAATTATTCATGCTTACTGCTAATGTATTTACACAGTGCCTAATGTGCACCAGGTTCTTTGCAGAGCAAATAAAGAGACAAACTCTCTGCCTTGAAGAGCTTACACAGCCCATGGCCCCAGTCCCGCAGGGAGCTTCACCCACGAGGACCTCTGCATCTGCAGAGAGCTCCATGGACATCAGAGGAGACTATGCAGGCATGGAGCTCTGTCTGCACAGAGCTCGGGATCAGAGCCAGACATCATTCCAGCTGTTTTGGACATTAAAGTTAATAAACTAGTGTAAAAAAAACTCTATTTAGGAGTGTCCCCCTTCACCCTCTGTCCTGACCTCTAGTACTGCACCTCCCATGGCAGAAGTGTCCCACCATCTCAGTCCTGGGTGACGAGAGCTCGGAGGCCCATGCGTGAAAGTGCAATTCTAAAAAAGAGTGGAATAAAGAACTCACACAGCCGTGTCCCCGAGTGCAGACTGCCAAAGCAATTGGACATACCCAGCAAGCGCACCAGGCGCTCGGCTAGCAAAAGGACTTTGACTTTATCCCTGCCACACTGGAGTTAAATACCCAACAAACCTGCACCTTTGGGCCCCATAGTCCTGCCTCTACGTTACCCAATAAAATCAGATGACAGAACATCATCAGAACGGCAGCTGCTGCCTGACACCCGGGAGATTCCTGTGCAAGGAGCTCTTTGGTGGGACACATGAAGCTGGTGGGATTCGTAGCCTCAGGCTCCTCAGGACATGGGCTCTCTCTTCCTATATGTCTGTGCAGCACCGAGGACTCTGGTGCCTTAACCCTCCCTTGGCGTTACAGCAGACGAATGGAATACCAGTCATCTTGACGTGCTCCATAAGCCTGCTGGGTTTCTATGCTTCAGTGCCAAGCATTTTCCTATGGTGTTGCCCTTGGCTATGCCCACACTGTGAGCTACGAGCGTGATTCCCCTGCTTGTGCACACACGCCAGTGCTGGGCATTGTAGCCAGGATAGCACAGGGAGTGACAGCAGAGGCATGGCTGAGCAGTGCCAAGTGCAAACCCTCCTGAGACCAGTGGATATGCGCTTGCTGCTGCCCCATGCGACTGTGTCTACGCTGCTGTTGGTACTCACACTAGCTCCAGGTGTGAGTCTGTATCTGAGCGGGGCAAATCACGCCCCATGCTCATACTGTAGACATAGCCATGGTCTGAGCGCCCGTGCTAGGCAAAGGCTCCGTGTTGCCCACACCGCACCCTTGTTCAGCAGCCCTGTTCTTATGCTAGGCAGAGGCTGGATAACAGCTCAGAGCCCGCCGGAGGCAGTGTTACATTCTGAAAACCAGACACACCCCTGGCACTTAGCCCTCCCTTTGCTGGACAGTCCCCAGGCTACAGTGTTCAGGTCCCACTGCACTGGGCCTGGCATCTGCTCTTACGTGTCCCTTGGTCTGAATAGGCTGCAACCTCCATCTGTTCCCCCCTCACAGAAATGGGACCCGCAGCCCAGCTGCCCCAGGCCCTGTGCTGACTGCCCAGTTTAAGCCCACCCTCTCCCAAGGCTCCAGCCATGTAGGCACTCGGGGTTTACCGTTCACCTCTTTTGGGACATGCTCTAGTGAAAGGTTTCAGAGTAACAGCCGTGTTAGTCTGTATTCGTAAAAAGAAAAGGAGGACTTGTGGCACCTTAGAGACTAACCAATTTATTTGAGCATAAGCTTTTGTGAGCTACAGCTCACTTCATCGGATCCAATGTAGCTCACGAAAGCTTATGCTCAAATAAATTGGTTAGTCTCTAAGGTGCCACAAGTCCTCCTTTTCTTTTTTGCTCTAGTGAAAGCAGACAGTTCCCAAAACAGTCACTCGTCCCTCCTGCACACCGCATCTCCTCCGAGTCACTCGCTGTCCCCCCGTGTGCAGAGAGTTTCCTTCTTCCATAGCAGGTCATGCAACTGCGTGGGACCTCTCTGCTTCAACATGCCCCTCTGTGCTTCCTTCCTAGCCACTGACCCAAACTTCCTGTGTCTCTGCGCGTTCCTCTGAGTTCCCCTCTTCAATTCCTCAGCCTTTGGAGGTTTTAATGGTTGTGGTTTCTTGGTTCCCTGGTTTCTTGGTTTCCCTTTCTGGGAAAATTCCTTGGCCTCAAACTCCAGCTCCACAGACAAACGTGGCCGGCTGGTTTCTCTGATTTCAGCCATCCCATTGTTCTGAGGTGCTCCCACTGGAATGGGAGCGATCCAGGCGTAATGAGCCTCCATTGTCCCTGGACTGGGAGATATTGTGGCACAGCCCTGTCAGCACATGGAGGATTCCACTTGCACGGAGGCATCCAATGTTACAGCAATTTCAAAGCATCAACCAGAATTCATAACTTGTACATAGAGAGATTCCCCCATGCCTGCGGTGGTATGTTCCTCATGCCAGGGTCCCACACTCTCTCCTCCCAGGCGAGCCATTGCATGATCCCCATTATTATTTAGTTTCTTTCGGGTAGGGAGAGGAGTCATTCAGGGTGTCAACATGTTAAACCCCATTGGGATGATGGGCTGAGCTGAAATGCATAAATTATAAGGTCCAAGGGGATCACTCTGATCATCTAGTCTAACCTTCTATGGCCTGTGTTATACAGGACTTCCAGGATTGCCAGCCCCACATGTTCAAAAATCATGATTCAGGCTCACCAAAAATCCTGAGATTATGTAACCATACTAGATGTGGGGTTCTTATTATTTGCCTTCTGCTTTTTGAGCCTGTAGGGTGCCCTGGGGTCACATTTTGGAGCTTTCTCCACAGCCACAAGGGCTAGAAACTTACTTTTTCTTTAAGAATGAAGGCTGAGGTCATCCCAGACCCACTTGACTCTAGGTGCTGGGGCTTTAAGGAAAACAATAATTATCATGAGACTCATGACTAAAACATGAGAGCTGGCAACACTGGACTTCCCTGAATTAATTTTGGTTTGAACTAGAGTATAACTGGGGGGAGAGGAGGGGGACCATCATGCTAGAAGGTGTGAATGGCTACCATCACCTAGTACTTTGCTTTATAGTCGATTAACAGACCTATTTGAAGCTGATGAGTGTGCTAACCTGATGCAAAGGGTGCAGCGTGTTCACCATTTCCCCTGGTTTTCCGACTGTGACTAAAATCAATAGGGTTCTGCCCATGGATGCCTAGAACTTTCCCTGGAATTTTGGAATTGATCAGATGCAGTTGTCAGGAGTTCTCATGTTACAGATGCAGAAATGCCACTGAGATGAGCGTAGAACTTGCTTTACTTGGCCAGTTATAGAGTTTCAGGCCCCAATTTTCAGCCAGTGAAGACACAGAGGTGTATATGCAATTGCACACCTAACTTATGCATAATGCAGCTGCACACCTGGATCAGGTAGCTGCACACATATAACTAAGCAGATGTATTTGCGTATGCACTTTCCTAGTTTGCATGCAAAAGTGTCAAACACAGTTACCAATTAGGCATATTTTGTGCACGCAGTATTCACCTAAACTATTAAAATCCAGCCCTCGCTGGTAAAGCAGAAATGTGTTTATATTTGTAGATGTGATTTTGTGTATTTGAAGTGCAGCTGAGGGCAGGATTAATTGTGGGTTAATATTGAACTCCATTTTTGCAACACTAGTTCATTAGCATACAAAGTATAAGGGTTATTACGCAGCCCCACTTTCCTCCTGCAATGAATAGAGCAATGCTGCCTAGGAATCCAGACCAGGGATAATTAGATCTCTCCTGTTCAGTATGTCACAGCCTCAGCTATTAGGAGAACACATGAAATCCCTGGCTGATCAGAACATGTACAGTATGAAACGCTCCGCAATTATATGTGGCTGGAGGACAAGTTAATGGGCTCAGATTATCCCCTGGCCTCTGGATTTGATCTATGGAGGCTACTGGAATGGGGTGTTTAATGCCTTGGGGTCTTCACGGTACATTTCACAGGAGAGGTGGAGAGACATAAGTGCTTCTTCAGTGAAATAGACATGATGAATTCACTGACTCCCTTTCGATGGAATGAAGTGGTCTGAATTGCCCTTGTCGAGGAGAGAGCAGTGTTTCATGCCAGCTACCTGGGTAAAGTGTTACCATGCTGGAGTCAAAAGCCATGCTTGCCCACCACCCATACACATCACTGTCACCTCCCTCTTAGCCTGTTCTTCCTTTCTTGGAAATTGGCCGGGACACTGGCTCCTAGCCTGAGTCAAACTGAGATTTCTCTGCGTCAGAGAGACCAGCCTGGTGGAATTCCCCTCCGTAGTGAGTGCGGTAAGAAGAGTGATTTCCTGTGCTGCTCGAGTTCCCCCACCCAACAGCCTCGAAACCAATTCATGCAAGCGAAAGCTTCCCCATGCGCCGTGTGACACAGAGTGAGCGTGCACGCAGAAATTAACAGTGAGGAGGCTCCTGCCTTCCGTCACTAGCGCAAGCTTTGCCTGCAAACATTTATCCTCTGTGACAGTGGATTGATCCTAACCTGAAGTTTCACCCTCAAGCCCCCTGAAATGCACATCTGCCACGTCCCTAGGGGGCAGCACCATGGCAGCAGCAGATTCTGCAGGGCAAAACATTCAGGCTCCAAAGTGGTGCCTTTATTCAGTGTCTGTACAGTGGCTAGGATGTGCTAGGTACATCACAGCATAAAGCCAAGACCCCTGCCCCAGAGAGCTTGCAATCGAGATACACAATGCACCGAGATGCCAGACCAAGGTGGGAGGGATTCCACATTATTACTAAAAAGAAAAGGAGGACTTGTGGCACCTTAGAGACTAACCAATTTATTTGAGCATGAGTTTTTGCACTGAATGCATACGATGAAGTGAGCTGTAGCGCA